ATGGAAAATCCGTTATTAAAAATAAAACAACTTTTATGAAGTTTACATTCACAGACCTGTGTTATTGTTGTGAATAGCTCAGTCATATTTTGTTCAAACTGCTGTAATTTCACGTTTGATTTGTTTCATTTATTTTATTTTTTTACTTTAATTGTTTTGGACAAATAAAGTATTAGAAAATTTCCTCATTGAATATTATATGATATAATTACTTTTCCAGAGTCCGGTTCAACCTTCTTCCCCTCAACCTGATGACCAACCATTATTGCCTCCTGTAGATGAGCCCCCAACTGAAGAGCCTATAACAGAGACAGGAGGACCAGAAAATGAACCGTCAGCAGGTCAGCCAGAAGAGGGGGCAACAGAAGAGCCAATACACGAACCTGAAGCAATAGTGGAACATGCTTCTGACGAAACTCTACCAGAACCAGGTGAAACACAAGAAACTTCATCGGCATTGGAAACAACAAGTGTCTTACCTCAAACGGAAGAAGAAAAAAAATCACTATCAGAATCAGAAACAATAGAAGGTGCTTTGCCAGAATCCCACGAAGTTGCTCCAGAGCAGGGAAATGAAACTGCAGAAGATAACTTGCCACAGCCTGATGAAGTTGCACCAGAAACGGAAACTACACAAGATGTTGTTCCACAACAAGAAACTATGTTAGAAGCAGCCACAAAAGATGATACTGTACCACAAACAGAAGAAGTTGCACTACAACCGGACACAGCAACAGCTGCTGAGTTACAACCAGAAGAAGTTGCATCACAATCAGACACATCAATGGATGCTGTGATACAACCAGAAGAAGTTGCACCACAATCAGATACAGCAACGAATGCTGAGCTACAACTAGAAGTTGCACCACAATCTGATACAGCAACGGATGTTGAGTTAGAAACAAAAGAAGTTGCACCACAATCGGACACAGCAAAGGACGCCGAATTACAACCAGAAGAAGTAGAACCACAACCGGAAACAACAGAAGCTTCAATATCTCAACCAGAAGGAACTGCAGAACCTGCTCCAGAATCAAATGCATCAGACGAAACAGCGCAAGAAACAACAGGGGATGAGAAATATGAGGCTCAAGAAAATAAGGGTCCAGAGGATGCGGTTGAAAACACTTCAGTGGAATGTTAACCATCGTTTTGCAATATAAGATATATTGCATTTTTCAGCTTGCTGGTAGATAGTGAGCTATAACTCTTGCATATTAACCAATCTTTACATATTTATACCCAAAGCTAAACCTATTTTTACTTTTCTTTAATGCTTGAAATGTTCTGAACACGTTTGTAAAAATTTCAAACAGTAACGTCATTTTATTAACATGAGGCCACCGAATCTCGTTCTTGATAACATTATATCAATTATTTAATGTAAGACATTGCAATGTTTTGTGGATACATTTTATTTCTTATACCGCCTAGCTACATTGAAAAATGTATACAATAAACATAAAACATTTTAGTTGACAGTTTGATTTTAAGACTTTTTGCAACCCGTGTGAACGTACATAAGCGTATATATATATATATATATATATATAAATATAATATATAACATGAAAATAATGTTTTCTAAGGGGAAAAAATTATCTTGAGATTTACATTAATCCTAAGCATGTGCAGAGTATCCCAAAATTCAGGCGCTATAGGTAAAATAGACCTTTCACATAATTTGTTCGATGCGTTATGCAGAAAATCCTTTTTACAACGAAGTCAAATTTTGGGAATCATGTAACTTCGAAAATAAGGGAATACTTTTCTTAAATGATGTGCTTGTTCTTGTTAAAATATGATATCTTTGACAGATATTACTAATCTTCTTTTATTTATTTTGTAGTACTTTCAGTAAAAAATGTAAATGTCACATCGTGTGTCTCAGAGAATTTTAGTGTTGCTAAAGCAAAACATGATTTGGTTACCAATAGTTTGTCAAAATTCGTCTTCATTTGTCTAGATTAAACTTGTGTGATATATGTGATTAAATCCTATTACTACTGTTTTATTGGATCACGAATATATACGAATTATTATCAGCTCTTTAGAGAAGAAAAAACGAAATTAGCTTTACAGCCGATTTTAAGAATATTAAAAAAAACGATATAAAAATTTGTGCGTGAAAATGAAAAAGAATGATTAGGTCTTTTATGGTTCATCCTTATGAACAGCGCTTGTTTTATGGTTCATCCTTATGAACAGCGCTTGTTTTATGGTTCAGCCTTATGAACAGCGCTTGTTTTATGGTTCATCCTTATGAACAGCGCTTGTTTTGTGGTTCATCCTTATGAACAGCGCTTGTTTTCGAAGCTTGACCCTACCGGTGGTCAACGGTAAGTTTACAGAGTTACAATGCCAAAATCCGGGTTCGATTCCCCCATGATGGACACAGCGCAGATAATATGGAGCTTTGTATTAAAACAAACAAACTATAGTAGGTGCAATTTTTAGATAAACTTAATAATAAATTGCAAATCCTATTTTTCGTTGTTTTCATATTGGCTTTTGGTTTATAAAAATTTCTCAAAGTGCTGTTTTATTAATGATAACTTATTTTTTAAAAAAAAGAAAAAATTGGCCCGGCATGGCCAGGTGGTTATGGAGCTCAACTCGCAATCTGCGGGTCGCGTGTTTGAATCCCCGTTTCCGAGCATCCTCGCTCTTTCAGCCAAGGGGACGTTTTAATGTTACGGTGAATTCTACTATTCGTTGGTAAAAGAGTTGGCGGTGGGTGGTGATGACTAGCTGCCTTCCCTCTTGTCTTACACTGCTAAATTAGGGACGGCTAGCGCAGATAGCCCTCGTGTAGCTTTGCGCGAAATTCAAAACAAAATTATTAGCGTTATTTTGTATATTAGTATGATATTTTTAAAAAATCATAATTAAGTTTCCAATGTTACTTAATAACGCCTAAGTATATGTTTTACAGGTGAGGATACAAAATTTACTCTAGTTTTCAAAGTTTAACGAAGACATATTTTTTTGTGATCGTAATGGGTATCAATCTGTTTGAGGGTGAGGAGTTTGGCTCAGAAATAATATTCAAGTTCAGAAACAAATTTTCAGTATACGTAATATGCTCATGGTTGAAATAATAAATTGGCAAAATTTAAAAGTTTTAAAAGTTAGTTGCATAAATTATTTTCGAAAGTGATAACCCTGTTTTGAATAAATATTTGAAAAGCATTAAAAACAAAAAAGTTAAGCGTAAACACAGACATAAAACACCTTATAGAAACCAAAGTTTATAACATAGATTTCGCTGCTTTAATTTTACTATCGTTTGCAGTAACGTTAATATTTTAGGTAGTTATAGCTGATTTGTTTATGGAGCTTTTAAATCTTATTATGTTAACCCTTCTCTTACCAATAATATCAGATATAAATATATGGCAAACGTTTACTTAAGCCTCTCTTGGTTATTGCAAGTAATATATCTTTGGTGTGTGGATTGTTTGTTTGTTTGCAATTAAGCACAAAGCTAAACAATGGGCTATCTGTTCTCTGCCCACAACGGGTTCTCGAAACCCGGATTCTAGCGTTATAAGTCCGCAGACATACCGCTGTGCCACTGGGGGCTGGTGTGTGGAAAGAAACAGTTTTTAGAATAGTGTTACATAATGGGTTATCTGCGCGCTTTCACCGCATGAAATCGAACCCCGAAACTGACTGCATGCATGGAATGAAATAACCTAATGATTAATTTTCAATTAATTATTTCAAGACGTTGATCTAAAAAAACAAACTTAGTTTGTGACAGATGTAACTGAAGGCAAAATCTGTGAGTACGTAATATATCTATGCTGCTAATCAACGGATCAAATCATTGAGGATTGGTTTAGGCTTATTAGAGATAAAATGATGCATTCACGATAATATCATAGGTATGATGAAACCTTGAGTAAATGGATTTTTCAGTTTCGAAATTCCGTTTATAATTGAATGAGAGAAGGTGCTACCACGATTGTGTAGGTTATGTGATGAAACATCAATATTTTCAGAATCTGGATTTCTTGGTTTAGTTTAATTTCGAAAAAAAAAAAAAAAGTTGAATCTTTTCGATTTACGAATTTGTGTATTTTTTCAGAACTTTCCAATAAAGTTGCCCCGTGAAATATAGTAGCCTTGCAGTTAGAATGATCACTTTTGTTTGTCAGATAATTGATTTACTTTATGTATATTTATTTTCTTGTGTCAGTGATCCAAGGAAATATACACCCGTAATTCTATTTATTTTCGTATTCGTTCATCACTTAGAAAAACTGGTAGAGAAATATAATTGTTAGTAAACGTTGATGTTTGAATAATCTGAAACGAAAAAATATTACTCATGAATCACAAAGAAAAACGGGGTAAAAACATTGTTAACAGAATGTACGTCCAAGTTATCTATTTCACTTACAATGTCAGCCTGTATTCGCACACAACAAATGATATACATTTTCAAACAAATATATATAATTTACTGTAATAGCAAAGAACACTTTATGCATGAATATATAGATAAAATTAAAAATATTGCATAAAACTTAACTACATCGTTTATCTGAGGACGAATTATCAGATGATAATGTACTGTTCTTCAAATCTAGTATTTTATGGCATAATATAACTAAACCAGAATGTTAAATAAGATCATGAATGTATATAAAAAACATTAAAGTTATACCAGTTGTAATAGGCATAACGTCAGAGGAAAGTAATGTGGTCAGCAAGTTTCGAAATCGTCGATAGAAAAATCAAATAAGCCAACAATAGAAAAACAAAGACAGTGAGATGTAAGAACTCAAGTTCTTGAACCCACACCGCCTTGAATGTATCACAGTTATGGGAGCATGGTAGTTACTCCCACTCGCTCTTTTATGTGTTAATTATAAATAAAGCAAATGAAGAGTACAGATAAATAAATTCCACCCTACCTTAATGAAATTCACACCTTTCATTTTGATCTTTGTTTGTTTGTTTGTTTTTGAATTTCGCGCAAAGCTACACGAGGGCTATCTGCGCTAGCCGTCCCTAATATAGCAGTGCAAGACTAGAGGGAAGGCAGCTAGTCATCACCACCCACCGCCAACTCTTGGGCTACTCTTTTACCAACGAATAGTGGGATTATAACGCCCCCACGGCTGAAAGGGCGAGCATGTTTGGTGTGACGGGGATTCGAACCCGCGACCCGCAGATTGCGAGTCGAGTGCGCTAACCACCTGGCCATGCCGGGCCATATTCTGATCTTAAGATTAATATCATATTGCAATCAATAGAAGGCAGAATCATATAAACGTACCTGTCATATAGTTCAATAATATATATAAATCCTCTTTATCTCCTCCCTTATATTCAATATAAGTCGGACTTAGCCGAGACTAACACTGTTTCTTAGTTATTTTCTCACATTGAAAGTCTTTAGATATCAGAGTTAATAAATGTTACATGCTACTAGCAGTTATAATATTTAGATCAGTTTAAAATGCTAGAGCTTCCTAGTTACATATTTAGTTTATTTGCTGAATTTCGTTCACAATTATTCGAGGGCCATCTGCTCTAGTCATCCCTCGTTTTGATGTTTGTTTGTTTTGATTTTCGCGCAAAGCTACACGAGGGCTATCTGCTCTAGTCATCCCTCGTTTTGATGTTTGTTTGTTTTGAATTTCGCGCAAAGCTACACGAGGACTGTCTGTTCTAGTCATCCCTCGTTTTGATGTTTGTTTGTTTTGAATTTCGCGCAAAGCTACACGAGGGCTATCTGCTATAGTCATCCCTCGTTTTGATGTTTGTTTGTTTTGAATTTCGCGCAAAGCTACACGAGGGCTTTCTGCTCTAGTCATCCCTCGTTTTGAAGCGAGGCAGCTAGGCAACACCACCAAAGAATAGTGAAAATAACCTTCACAATTACTGCCAAGCTTATGAATAGGAGTAATAACACAGTTTTCTTCCTCAACTTTCTTTTTCTTCCTTCTGAAAATATGGGAAGGGAAATCTTGTTTATAATTAGATTTGAACAAACCGCCTTCGATATATTTTCTTATCGTTACTAGCAAAATATTTCTATTCAGCAATAATAATGTTTGGAGTAAAGCCTCATTGTGCTATCTGCTGTGTCCACAGCGGGGAATTGAACCTCCGATTTTAACGTTGTAAGTCCATAAACTTACCACTGTCCCACTGGGGGACTAATAATGATAATGGGAACAGGTTTTTATTCTGATTTTAATAATATTTCTATCAAGTTTGTTTTAGTTATTTTAATTATTCCTCATTCAGTAAGAAATAATCACTGTTGCCTAAATAACGTTTCATAATGTGACAATGTAAAAGTTTATTTAGTTACCGAATTCAGAATAATTTTATCCTTAATGAACAGGTTATTTAAAAAAGTTGGCATCTTAATGGGTGCTAACCATTCATCAGATGTTTCTAAATTAAATTAACTCCCGTGGAATGTTTATGTCTTTCCTAATATTATTCCCCACTAAATCTAGTATTTTGAATTATAAAAGTAAATTTAAATAAACAAATAACATTTGTGCGTATAGTTCAAAAGGACAATAATTGTCTAAAATGGATAATCAGCTTTTTACTGTTTCACCCATTTACTTGGGAAAAAAAAAATACCTCAAAGGATTTGGTAAGTGAATCTGTTCGCTTAATTCCTTTGGTCCCAGAAGTATCTAAGAGATAAAGGCAGTTTCAGAAAACATCGTTATGGTAACGATTAGTCAATGATTCTGTTGTTTTAAAATTTTGTGTGTCGGTTTTCTCATAACCTTGTGCTATGGTAAGTTCACATCCATGTCTCTGTATACTATTACAAACGTTGTTATTATCAGTTTCGGTTAATTTTCTCTGGACTGAGCATTGACCATTTCAAGGGAAGTCACCGGAAGTAATAAAGCGACCCTCTTGTTGGTCACTTTCGTACTTTCAGTTGCTAAGACGTCGTGCAATCTGTAGAGTTTTCAAGTTGTAGCCTGTGTCTAATGTTAAAATGCATTGCGTGTTGCATTGAATTGGAAAAATAGACCAAGATTTGATTCTGTGTCATTTCACTGTTAATCCCTCCTCTCCCGTAAATAAATTAATATGAACTGATTTGCCATTGCCAACATATTACGTTGTTAGATACAGTAACTTAAGGCCTAATGACATTAACATTACTTAACTACTTAACTGAGGATATCTCTGACTTTTGAGCATATGTAATTTTGGTGTTTAAGATCGAAGTTTTCTTTCAGCTTTATTATGATATGGTAGTTGTTAGCTCAAATGGTTTCAGGCATTTTCAAATTTTGTGAATTGTTTCTTGGAGACAATCCGAACTGTTGACAAAATGGATTTTATATATTTGGAGATATAAATGGTATCCAGCAAAAGTCTCCAGGTTGTTCTCTAAACATCTTGAAA